GAGAAGAAGACAAATCTATAATATATTTACACACAAAATTTTGATGTTAACATAAATCCTACATTTTAGCACATCATTGAATGCAAATCAAGAAACGGAAAATTAAATATCGAAAAAAAAAAAGATAGGAAAAACAGCGCATTTTTTTCTTTCGTTTTCTGAATTTGATAACTAAACTAAAATCTGGAAGGCAACAGAGTAACTGAGGAGCAAAAAAAAAACAGCAGCAATAAAACGACAAAGCATAAGTGAAACTAGATTATTTAGCAGTTTTATCAAAACCAACTAACAATGCAACAATAACAGTCGGTAAATCTTGAGAATTTTGATTAACTAAAATTATCTATCAAAAAATTTATGTCTAAGCTTGTATGATTTTAAAAATATTGAACTGATAACAGCACTAATACCAAGCCTTAGGAATCCAACAGCAACAGCAACAGCGGTAGCAGCAGTAACAGCAATAGCAATAGGAGCAACAATTCAATCAAATCTTAAGCTAAGATAAAAGGCAAAAGAGAGGAAAAAAGACAAAGATTGTACATTCAAAACCGGCAAAGATAAGTTGAAATTTTCAGGCTAAAACATTATCTGTTTTTTTTTTTCTGTCTGTGTATTTGTATGTGTGTTTGTTCCGTACAAAAACCACTGGAAAACTCCGAAAATATTTCACTAAAGTTATTCTTTCCTGTTTTTTTCTTTTTTTGCTTTGCGTAGAAAACCTTAAAGCTATACAATAAATAAGATTATAAATTTAAGTCAGCCAAATTTTTACAAATATTTCATTTTTTAGAGCCCAAATTTAACAGATTATTTTCACCAATTATCACTGTTATTTTATATGCTTATATATTTATTTCCCTAATCGTTTGTTAAGCTTATTTTTTTCTTTTCTTTTTATTTTTGCTTGATGTTTAATCTACTAAGATAAATTTAGTATAATTAAAGTTTTTCAAGAACTAAGTCAACAAAAGAAAATAAAAATCTTACTGCTTTCTTTTCTGTTTGTTAATTTTATTCTTTTGAAGAGGAAGATACCTTTTACGAAAAAAAACTTGTAATCTAGATCTTTTTTCAACGATATACTTTATTTAGTTTATATAGTTAGCAAACTGAATGCTAATAATTTATTTGCCAATTCTTTGTCTTCTTTTTTTTTTTTGCACAATCAATCAACATTTATGTATTCTATTTTGCGTATAATATTTGCTATTTCAAACTTTATTCTTTAAGTTTTTCAGAGCATAAAAAAGGTTGCTTTTTTTAGCTAAAAATTTTCAATCTTAATTTACAAGTTATTTCAGCAAAAATTCTTCGTTTTCACACTCAGCAATGTTCATTAGTTGGCATCTAAAGGTCTTCACAAGTTTCTTTCAAGGTCAAAAAGCAAAAATATAATTTGCCAAGAAAAATGGTATGTATAGTACACAAACTCACTCACTTTTTTTCTTCAATTATTCAGTTTAATATATAAATTGAAAATAATAAATAAATTTGCTTCTTTATCATTTCTTACATAAAAATGTATGTATAAATATATATTTTTTTATTTATTTATTCGTACATTCATATAACAGAACATATATCTATTTATGTGTACTTTTTGTTGTTGTTGTTGCTGTTGTTGTTCTGCAAGTTTATCGCTGTTTTAATATTTAACACTTCAATAATTATATAACTTTATGCATCTGACAATTCACATATTGCTAAGAAAAACGAGTTGATATGAGATTGCATAACAGGGTTCAAGAAAATATTTGATCTATCAACAACATAACTAAACTTTTTGAAGTTTCATTTGATCTACCAAACACAGCAACTCAGAGCGTTTATTTTGTGGTGATGTCAAAGATATAATAAAAAAAAGTTGGAAATTTTTCTACAGCTTATTTGCTTTATTCACTTTATTTTTCAACTAAAATAAAAATGAAGCAGAAGACGAAAAAAAAAACACGGAATGTACTTTATGATAGAAAGATGAAACGGAAGGATGACAAGTGACTTCAAACTGCTACAGTATCAGTGGAAAAGATAAAAGAATAAAGCGATTAAAAGTAAAGATAAGTTTATTTCTAAACAATAATTTTTATTGATAATACAAAAAAAAAGCTTTTTTATTTTGTTTTGTTTTCCAAGCACAATTTTTTCTTTTTATATTCTATCCTCAAATGCTTGTATAAAGTTTTTAAACATACCGAAGAAACTTTTGTCTGTTTAAGCTCAGAATAACAGTTTGTCATTCACTGCTGTCTGTTTATTTGGTGCCTTTTCAAGAACAAACTATAGGACAACAAAGAAAAAAGACTACCATTTTTACAGAACTATTAGCCACGCTACCACTAAAATATTCTATATTATATAAATAAATAAATATATTTATCTGTACAGAACAAGAAACCATTTACCCAACTGATCAGTCTCAGTCAATTTAAATAAAGAGATGCCAAAAGCATAAAATAAATGCTCCAATATGATATGGAAAATTTTTTGGTGACAGCTGTTTGTTTGATATGCTCAAATTTTTCAGCAATCGTTGCCTATTTTTTTTTTCTCACTATTTTTTTCTAGCTTTATTATCAGTAAAAAAGTGTTGTCAAAATATTTTCAATGGTTTATTGTCTGAGAAAAGCTTTGATTAAGGTTATAAATCAGAAGCAGAAAAAAAAACAAAAAGTTTGATTAACAAGAATACTTTTTTATTTTTTTGCTTTTTTGTTTTTTAAAAGTTATACTTAAAATTTCAAAAGTAGTTTAACGGGAAAAAAAAGTTGCAAGATGATATTATCTATTCAATTTTTATTGCAACTGCAAATTTATAGCACTGAGCTTAATCAACTGCCTTCTGTTTCAAACACTCACTTATAACATAAGAAAAAAAAAAATTTCTAAGTTATTTTCTTTTTCTTCACAATTTTTCGGTGTTATCGAATTGTTGTCAGCAGATAAGTATAAAAAATTAAACACACCAAAAAGGAACGAAATATTTAGCAACAGTTTGGTGCTTTTATCTAGTTAAAAAGAAAGTGTAGACGGGTAGTGGTGATGGCACTATTCTGTTCAATGTGCCATAAATAAATCAAAAATATAACAGTGTTTAATGAGCTAAAAAAACAACAGTATTCAAGTAAATAACCGTAAAAAAATATGATAAAGTAAAGATTTAGTTCAAGTTAACGGCTTACCGCATTTGTTTTAGATTCTATTTTTTAGAGGAATTTTATTAAGCGACGTCATTAGTTGAGGTAAAAAAAACAGCAACTATTTTCCTTTTATGCAAACAAAAATTGCAATAAAGTTCTCGAAAAATTTTTTTTATTTTTATTTTATCAAAAACCATTGGCTTTTTCTACAGAAAGAAGTAAAATTCTATAAATTTGATTTTCTGAAAACAGTTTAATAAATAAAATTGTTTGGCACAAAAAAAAAGTAGTAACTGTTTTTTCTTCAATAAACTCTTCTCTTTCTTTTTCTTCAAAAAATATGACAAATAATAAACAAATTATAACTTATTAGTTGGTAATTAAATTTATTACTGTCAATGTAAAATGCAACTTTAAACAAACTAATATGTTACAGAAAAACAATAAAGCAACAGGTGAATGAGAACAAAATGTCTACTTTAAAATCAATATCAAACTTATTGCTCAGGTAATGTTTGCACTGATTCTTGCAGATATTTAAACATTTTAAGCCTCAAACTAGCAGCACATAGCAAGACTGTAAAGTTTGCCTAATGTTTTTGAACTTATCTGCAAATATCCTTAACAACTTCAAAAATCTGTTTTTTTGTTTAGAAATTCATTTGCTGTGTAGTCTTCTTCTTCTTAACTTCTCTACGCCTATCTGTTCAACAATTCTCAACAGTAATAAACGTAATGAGATCAAAAAATTAGTACCAACCTACATACTGTCTAAAAGAAAAATTATTAGAACTTAGTCACTTTTAGGTAAACCACTGAACATTACTATAATTCTCACCTATTTATTTATTTATTTATTACTATTATTAACCGAATGCGCAGTAATAACAGCTTTAAAACTTAGATTTTAATTGATCAATATCTTCTAGAAAAACATAATCATTTTTAAGAATAAAACGAAAGTAGGGCATAGAAATGTATAAATGTAACCAAAGGTATATACGAGTACAAAAAGAATTTTTTTGTTAGAACACAAATGCATCGAGTTGCTATTGTTCTGTGTTCAGCTTTTCAATATGCAATTAATTGAAGCAAATTAAGCAATTTGATACTGGCGAACAATTGCTAATCCGATGTTTTAAATCGATGTCATTTTTCTTGCTTTCTTCATCTCTTTCACTTTTCTATTTCGCATTGCTTTATCCCGTTTCTCATCATATGTTTATTGTTTACTACAAAAAAATGTTTATTTTAGCTTCAACTTTTTCTCTTGCATGTTTTTAAAAATATTTAGCAAAAAAGTTTGACTCATTAAAGTGATTTCATTGACGTTTAGTAAACTGCAGTCTTTATAAGATAATTGCTATTAGTACTGCTAAAATAATAACAATAATTATAAGCATAAAGTTGCAATCAGTAACTAAAACAAAAAAAAAAAAATTATAAAAGCCAACCAAAATGAATAACCAACAACTTTTAAATCTGCAAATTAAGTGTTACCAACCCAAATTAATCCAACCATTGAAATCAGAGATGGGAATTAAAATACGACAACATAATTGCAAGGAAATCACAGAAAACTATAAAGACAGTGGAAAGATAGATGGCAAAGATGTAATAAAAAGCATAAAAGCATTTATAACTGTAAATTAAATTAACTCATTAATGTATTTTTAGAATTAAAACTTTAAAAATTTTTGTTATACAAATTACACTCTCATTTTTCTAACCCTTAAGAGAAGAAAAAGAAGCTAATCAAAGAAATAAATATTGTAAGCGCAACAATCTAACAGTGCTGAATTCAGACTTAAAACGTTTGAGAAATTTATTGACCATTTATTTCTGTTAGCTTTTTTCTGCTTAATTTCTTTTTTCTTTTAGTTGATCAATGCCCTTTTTTGTTTCAGCAGATATATGAAATATTGTGGTATCTCTATTTTCCTAAAGAAAAAAGATTTAAACCCATTGCTTTTGTTTGCCTTATTACTCGTTGTATAACTGATACTTTTTTTTTAACTTTAGCGTCTTTTACTTCATCACTGCAATCATCAACATCCTCATCATTAGCAGCAACAGCAACAGCAACACCACCACCACCATTGAACCATCATTCTATCCTCATCTTCATCATCTTCATCAAAATCATCAAATTCATCAACACCACCAGCAACAACATCATCATTATCATCATCATCGCTATCATCATCCTCATCAAAACTATCAGCACCAGCACCGACATCATCATTATCCTCATCATCATCATCATCACCACCATCATCATCGTCTTCGTCATCATCTGCATAAGCCAGAACAAAATTATCAATAAAAGCGACAGCATTAATACAGCAGACAACAACGTAACATCAACAACAGCAACTACCTCATCATCATCATCATCATCATCATCATCATCATCATCATCATAATCTTCATTATCGTCGCCACGTTCCTCCTCATTTGTTCAGAAAGAAACAAAAACCACCACTGTTTAAAGCGAGAAAAGAAGAAGTATAAAAATGTTGGTCAGTAAAATGTACTTAGACGATACTCAGTGGTACCATATTAAAATTATTTCATCTAATATTGCCGCAGCTCTAGCTAAATTCTAATCTAAGCCTTCAATTAAACAGGCAGTGATAATAGTCACAGTTACCACAACAAAATAGTGTTGTAAAATAAAAAGTGGAAAATCATTTGTTATCTATTTTAACTATAAAGTAAATTAGTAAAAAAATTTAATTACTCGAGAAATTTTTAAACTACACTAAATTGATACGGTTTTTGGCACTGCTGCTAAGGCTCTTCTAGACGCCGATATTTGTTGAAGTAAGTATATTTTAAAAATGTACAAAGATTCACTGGTAAAATTCCATCGGTTGACAATAACACATCTGCTAAAACGGTAGAAACGTTGAAACAGGTAGCAGAATTAGAAACAATAAACCAGTTGCTGTTAAGCCGAGAAATAAAGTCAATAAAAGTGGGTTAAAATATGGTTTACATTTCTGAAAAATAAAATATGATGTGTGAAAAAAAAATGTGAGGTAGAAATAGAAGAAAGAGAAAGTCGATTAACCAAAATATAAGCAATTCGTTAAAAAAAAATGCTCTAACAAAGTTTCGAGTCTTTACTTAAATTTGCATTCAGCTGTTCAAAAATATTTTTTTTTAAAATTTATTTTTGATGTTTATATATGCAAAAAATTATTTATTTATTTATCTATTTTTTTCTAAACATTTATATTTATTTTGTGTGCAAAAGACACTGGACACCCTGAGAATTAGTCTTTGGGGAAACAGACGTGAAATTCCGGTGCAATTCTCAGCTGCTCAATGTCGTCATCAGTGTTCGATCGCTACTTACTTTCTGCTATTTATGTATTTGTATCTGATTGCTCAAAAATTCTAAGACTATTCTGCTTATAAAAACTATTAAAGTTGTTGTTGCTAATCAACAGGATAAAGTGGTAACCTCCAATAAATAATGAAAAAAAAATAGAACCTGCATTTTTTTTATGAATGTCGAAATTTAAAAAAACCAAATCTTAACGATAGCGGCAATGACAATGGCGATATATGGTAACATTGTTTATGTCATCTATAAATACTGTATCCAGAAAAAAAAGACAAATAATGCTTTGGAAAACCCTTTGTCAACTAATCTCTATTCAGTTTATATAAAAAGTTTTGTTTTCTATTTCTTGTTAC